TTACCAATCTCAAGTTATGGCCTTTGACTTAAAGTCACTTTTTGTTGACTTTTGAAAATGACCTATAATGTTGAAATTGATAACTTTTTGTGAGAGCATTTATTGGACTTGGAATATGAAGATGAGTTGTAGGAAATGTCTTTCTCTTCAAAATGAGCTTTGGATGGAATTTTTCTGATAATCCATGTGAAAGTTGTGCCCTGGTCAATTTCAGTTGACTTTTTCAGCTGTCCAAATATAGCAACTTTTGCATCTTTGATGATTTCTGAGCCAAATTTTGAGAATCATGATCAAGCATTGATCAAATGATGTTTGTGGCTTCAGAATGATATGTTGGCCAAAAATTTGAACTTTTGACTGTCAAATGACCATTTTGCCCCTACAGTTGACTGTAGTGCAATTTAGGGTTTTGACTGTGCAATTTTGAGCTGAATACCTTGAAACTTGACATGAGGATACTTGACCATCTTTGTAGGCATATGAGACTTGATTGGGCCTTTGAAAACTTCATTTCTTTGATCAGAACTCAAACCCTAGTTTTGACTGTCTAGGAGACAGTTGAGCTGCACAACCCTTGGGGAATTTTGTGACCTTGACTTGACAAATCTTGGAGAATATGGGAGGGCAAATTTTGGGGTACAACACCGTTCATTAAAACGGAAAAAACAAAAATTGATGTTGATGATGGAATAATGTCCATGGAGTTAGGTGATACCATTTCTAAATTTAACCTTTTTGATGCTAAGAAACACCCCATGGAAGAATATTATGTTTTTCACATCGGAGTGCTTTCTGAGTCGGTTGATGATATTTATTTTGATTTGTTTTCAACTGATTTTCCATCATTGTCTACTATTGATGATACTTACTCATGTGATTCTTCCCCTATTTTTGCTGAGATTGAGGCTACCTTGTAGGTTGACATTGTTCCTGTAGGTAAAGTTATCAATGAAGAAACTGCTAATGTAGCTGAAGCTCTGGACATCCCTGTTGCACCAACCACACCATCCATTAGGCATCCCCTTCACTTTGACACTTTTACTCATCTGAGATCGTTCTTTGGTATAGGAATAAAAGGTGAAGGAGCTAATCCAATTTTTAAGGACAATGAGCATTACCCGAGGCTGCCCCAAGAAAACTTCACCCTCAACAGAGAGACTGTAGAAGAGCCTTCACTAGAAAAGACTTCTTATGCAATCACTTATCCTCCTTGACTGTTCGGGTGTGTTTTTTCCTTTCTCTCACTCTTACTTAATAGTTATATCCTTTCATTGAGGACAATGCATGTTTTAAGTGTGAGGGAGGGAATATTTCTTTTGTTTTTGTTTTCTTTCAATTTTCTTTGTTTTGTTTGCCTTCTTAAATAAAAATATAAAAAAATTGTATGTTTTTTCTTTGGTTTTTGAGTTAAAGTCATGAGTATTATTCTAAGTTCTCTTGACTAGAGCCTTGTGATGTGATGTGAAAAATTTGTTGTGCATTCTTAGTATGATAGGTAGGACTAAAATCTGAATTGTACATCATTTATGGTATATCATTAATCTTGTGAGTTTTTGAGCCTTTTAATGGATAATACGTAAAAGAAATATTTTTTTTCTTTCTTGTGTGTTTCACTCATGTTTCTAGAACTTAAATTGACTTTGTTGAATCTATTGTTTACTTGTGCATATTGATATGATAAATGCAACTTGTTTTGTTTTATTTTGAGATACTTAGCCAAAAAGCCAACCTTGGAAAATGTTATCACTTGTTTGAAAACCCCTTTGAGCTTGTATATCACTTTCTTTGTTTAAAACTCATTACAAGTCGAAAAGTGAAAAACAATGTTATCACCTTATTCAAAGGGTTGAAAGAGTCTTACATGGAGTTGGGTGGCGTTGAACAATATAGTTGTGATGTTTAAAAGGTAGGAGAGAAAAAAAATAGAAAAAAGAAAAAGAAAAAAAGAAGGATGTCAATACATTATCCTTCTGGAAAAAAAGAATAAAAATAAAAAAGAGAAAAGAGAAAAGGAATAGCAGAAAAGTTGTTTGGAAGTGAATGAAGTACATTGAAGTTCAACTCCCTCGGTTTCTTTCAAGTCTCTTTTGTCTCTTTGAATTTTAGCCTAGTACCCCTTAGGATTTATCACACCCTGGTCTTGACCAAGTTACAGCCTGAATATAAGTTCTTTTGATCTTTATGTGCATGTATTTCAATTATAAATTTAGAGTCTTTTCAAACTTTTGGTAGTACTAATTTTCATGTTGTGCTTTGAGTGTAAACAGTTAACCGAAACACTTGAGAGTTGAGTGAATTTTATTCTGTGAAGATCTTGCTGCTTTTGATGTACTTTCTGGTAATCTGTTTTTCCTATTTTATTTGAATGTCACAAAGAGTTGCTCACTAATATCATATTCTTGAAGCTTAGACTTAAAGTTATGCTAGTACCTTGTATCTCAAATACTTTTGAAAATGCATGCTCTGCTTTGTTTTTGTTTTCAAGTTATAATTTTGCCCGGCGTACAAAAATTCAAGTGTGGGGGAATTTAATTAGTGTATTTTGATGCACATTCTTCTACTATTGTATTTAGGCTTTTCCATAGTTTATTTTATTATTTTTACTATTTTATTGTCTTATCATATTTTAGTTTATTTTTCCTTTTATTTAATTTTCGTATTTTATTTTCAGCATAAGTAGTTTTTAATGTAAAAATCATAACTGGAGCTACGAGAATTGGATTGACGTGTTTTAATATGCGTTGGAAATCTAAGAGAAAGAGCTACAACTTTCGTGTTGAATCTAAAAGCTGATTCGGAGTTCAAAAGTGTCAAATCATTCATTAAAAAGTTCCAGGCTTTAGAAACCTTTGGTTTTTGGGCCGGTTTTTGTAATTTTTGGGTCTGTTGCTCTTTAAGCCCAATTCTCTTGTATTAATTGAAAATACAATGCTACTGCTAGGCATTCACTATTCACTAAATTAGATCATTGAGCTGCTAGTATTCCATGGAGAACTAATTCTTAAGGAACGATAAATTATTCATGTTTCCGCCAAAACTTTGAGGCTTTATAATTTCATTCCAAATTCTTTTCCCTTTCAATATTATTCTATATGTATTGTATGCTTAATTAGAATTATATAGAATTTTTTTATTTAATTCGATTGGTTTATGTTTCCTTGATCTGTTTCGCTTTGAGCGTTGCTTTACCGTTAAATTGCGTATCTCGAATCATGTTTACTTAATTCATGAGTGCTGAATTCGTTTGCTTAATTTGGATAACATAAACTGCATAATGTCAGTTTCACTTGTTAATTGGTGTTGTAATCTAATAGGGATTAGAATTCTCTTGAGGATTAGATTTATAATTACTAATGATAAGTTGGGAACCCGAACAATAGGTTGATTCGTTTTAGGTTATTTGATAATCACTTATTTGCATTGATTTCTGAATTGAATCTTAAAATCAAAACCCCCTGTTGATCTAATTGTTTGGTTAATTCATACAAGAATCCTTGTGATACAACTCGATCCATTGTCGCTAACTACCATTTTTAAAGTTACTCATTTTGACTTGTGTGTGACAGTAGATCATATATTTATATACAACTAACTTGTACACTAAGTAGGCTAGCAAACCTTAATTGGGTTTGGGCTTGGATTACACAACTCGGATTATATCTAATATTATATCTAATATTTCAACATTAACCATTGAACTGTTATGCCTTCATTACTTCACCATATCAAGCCTCATGCTTGAGAGACATTGAAAGGGAATAACTTTCCATTGGTCTCAAAGAGGTGGGTTCATCGTGATCTTAGCACATGATTGGCACAAGAATATGTTGGGCATAAAAGGGCGGCATCACGCTCTGAGCACCTGGTGTTTCCTGTTCCGACCCAATACACCTTGAAAGTGGATCACCCAGTCCAAGCCAATGTGCTTCACTCTGAGTTTTACAAGGATGTGTCAAGCTCAAGGAAAATAACTAACTGAACCACCATTCGATAAAGGTAATTGCATCTCACATTAAGATGGAAGACTTATTCCTACTATCCTAATAATCTAGCCGAGCAATTAGGGATTTGGTCTAATTCCTTAGCAGTGACTTGGCCAAAGGGACAAGTTTATAAATTTCCTAACCACATGGCTGAGATGATCATTAACTTTTTCACATATTAGAACCAAAAAGACCATTTATTGTACTGAACACAAGTATAATTGGTGTCTACAATGGGGCTGTCTAGAACTCATTTGGACCAAACTTAAATGTGAAACTAAATTTCTATAATCATACTTCCACAATGAGTAGAAAAGGCAACACTAGCAGCTATATCAATGATAATGAAGCCATTGTGAAAATTTAGAATGTTATAGAAGAATTATGTCACACCGACGAAGCTCTATAGACCAATGTTTTTCACATTCAATAAAAATGACACAACAACAAGCAAATATCCTACTTAGATGGAAAATGTGGTGCTAGTGAGAAACGCATCAAGAAAGTGGAGGACGTGCGTAGACTTCATGGAACTAAACCTGGAGTTTCATAAGGACCTCTAGTAACTTGGAGAACATATAAGCAAGAAATTCTTAGGATTCATGATAACCATGAGATAAATGAAAGCTAATCCAGATAAATTCTATGTCTTCACTGATGTGAGGAGTCCCATCATAGTGAAGGAGATTCAATAATTGATAATACACTTTGTCGCCCTTTCTCGATTCCTTTCCTATGTTGGGGAAAAATCTTTCCATTTCTCTGCCAGGCTAAAGAAAATAGAGAATTTTGAGTGGACCAGTGAATGTAAGGTTGCCTTCTCAAAGATGAATAATTTCTTAGGAACCCCTTAGTCTTGACATACCTGACATAGGGCACTCTGTTACTCTTTTACTTATCGACAACCCCTACTCTTTTACCAGCAACTCAATCCCCTCTGCTGATCCTTTATCTTCTATATGGATCATCTCCTAGGATGAGCAGATACTTCAACACTTCATAAATATACATAGAAGTATGCTAGGTAGCAATCTTAGTGATGACAATAGGAGGCATTGGATGGAAATCCTCAAAGTGAAGAACGTGTTTGGTTGGCGTTGTCCGTCGATTGAGATTCAAAAAGATCTTATATTTCAAGAACTGATTAATGAAAATCAATATCAATGGGTGGATCACGGATTTCTTAGGATTGTATTTATCATCGATAGTTTTGTCAAAGTGGAAAATGCACTCATAAAGGTAGGTCCCCCCTTCGATTGGGTAGTTATCCTAGTGGATTCTTACAAGAGGATATATAATGGTTTTGACGTGTGCTTCATCCCTTTTTACAAGTGTTTGTTGACTCAAGTGAGCTTTATATTACCTTTTAATGAATTCAAAGTTAGAGTGTTGAAGCAATTGAAGATCAAAACTTCTTAATTACACCCTTAGTTCTTGGGATTTTGTGAAGGTGTTCTAGTTTTTGTGAAAATATCGAGGTTGGAAGCAAACCTTGAACCTTTTCTTTCACCTTTTTGTCATGGAGCATACCTCTATAGACAGGCTTCGAAACCAATGTCTGATTTTGCTGGAGCAAGAGGTCAAGAGCTTAGTGATTATTTTGAGAATTGGAGAGACTTCAAGGATCATTTCTTCTTGGGGTACCCTTGGACTCTGGAGGCCCACTTCTCCTTCTTTAAAACCTTAGGGGAAAAGTCTATGATGACCAATCACTGTTGGGTGGGAAAAACTAGTTGTGGCAATCGAATTCAAAAATGTTGGGCTTGAAACTACTTCAATTGAGAATATCATACCTATTTTGTGTCCTTGGATTCCCTTACCCTGGAGTAGATATCAATGAAAGAAAACATGACATCTTTTTGGAAGGGTCTAGGCTATGAGGAAGGGGTTGGCCCTTTATATGTAGGGCTCTAATATAGAAGAAACAATTTATTGACAGACATGCCATACTAAAAGTTATTGATACTCTTTAGAGGGAAAAAAACTTTTTGGTGAGGAGTGAAAGTTTATTTAATGTACTATTTGTCTTTCATCATATTGATAAATATTGATCTTTATGATTTTCCCTTTGCATGTACAATTACTTCTAGTCGCATGGCTGCAGTAAAGGGCCACTTTGATAGGCAGAAAGCTTAACAAAAAACCAGGGTTTCCACTTCTTCCTCTTACAATCCTACATCTACTTCCCAGGTTCCTTTAAGTCGGGATCAAACTTCTTCCTCTATGCCAGATAAAGGGCATGATGATCAGGTTTGTACTTCAGCTGGAAACAATAATAAAGGTTGTAATCCATAACTGTCCGATGAGAAAAGTTTGGAAAAAAGGTATTAGTAAGTGCAGGTGTAACATGGTGGGATAAATGACTTGGTTGTTTTGTGTTTGATCGCAAATGTTGCGGTTAGCAAGAGTCTCCACCAAATTTTCTTTTATCCCAAAGGAAAGGTTGAAAAGAACAGGAAAGACCTTTGAGATGTTTTCTTGAGTTCGGGGGGTAGATTATGAACAGGGAAGGTATTAGCAACCTTTTAATCCATGGTTTTCCATGGGCTCTTAGTTACTTGCTAGATCACTTGCTTTCGTTTGAATGTGTGTTTGTGGTGTGGGTTTTGAAAGTACTTTGAAAATGTCTTTGTAATGGTTCTCGTTTCTATAAGAACGCATACAAAGTGTTGTATCAAAAATAGTTCAAAGAGGTGTTTGTGGAATGTGTTTTTGAAAGAGATTTTGAAAAGGTGTCTTCTTTGTAATGGCTCTCGTTTCTATAAGAACGCATACAAAGTGTTTGTCTTTTGAAAATGTTTCAAATGAGTGTGTTGGTGTATAAAATGTTTTTGTTGTGAGCAAGCGAGCAACTAGGAGCGAACCTACCTACTCAAAGGTCTTAAATGATTTTTTCCTCCTCCTTTAGATGTTGCTATCTTACCATTATTTTGGTAAGAAGCCCCATCGTTGGATGTGAAGGGACGGGCGTGGGAAGTTTGTATAGTCATTGAAAGCAACCTATGGGACGTTTTAGCAATGTCGTTTTAGGGACTAGATCGTTTACCGAAGGCAACATTGAGGGTCATCGAGGGACTACGATCTTTTATCAAGAGTCTTTGCTAAAACGCCCATATTCGAGGGACATGACTATTTTCCGATAGGCAATAAAGTGGGATTGCCCTAAGGGTGCTAGTGTGCAAGGGAGTTGATTTTCATGCATTTAGTCTTGATTAGGGTTATCTATTTGTTGATTTTATGTCTTGCCATACACACCCTAATTACTAGCATTTACATTTGAAAGCAATAAATTGCGGAAATGTAAAGTCCTACGCTATTACATCATTTAGGGATGGGGGTACAAATTTATGAATGGGGGGTTGCAAGAAAATAAATCCTAATTAACTATTACAACCATATTGAAATGTAAAATACAAGAAAGAAAAAGGACTTGTTTAGAAAATGATTTTTGTGTCTTAATGAATTAATAAAAAGAAAATATTTTTATGTCTTTTTTATATTAATAAAAAAAGTATTAATATTGAAAATGATAAAAAAGGGAAATAATGAGAGATGGGATTAGCATGCTGCTGAAAGAAAAACAAAAGGGATCAGAAGTTCTGATGTCGGGCGCGTTGTGGTTCAGAAAGAGCATCAGTAGTTCTGGATTGATACACTCTAAGGTCCTACAAGAAACGTTAGAGGGAAAACACAGAAGTTCTGGGTTGCTGTGTGCTGAACTTCTGAGTGTTAGAACAGTGAGAAAGTCTTAGAAGTTCTGTGTATTAAAACAGTGGGGATAACTCAGAAGTTCAGTATGTGCTAAGACAGTGAGTGAACATCAGAAGTTCAGTGTGTGTTAACAGCGAGTGAAAATCAGAAGTTCTGAGTGTTAAAACAGTGAGTGAAAACCAGAAGTTCAGTGTGTGTTAACAGCGAGTGAAAATCAGAAGTTCTGTGTGTGTTAAAATGGTGAGGAGAACTCAGAAGTTCTATGTTACATTTCAACTCTTTCCTCATATTAATCAGCACATCAGCAATTTATTCAATTCTTAACAGCAAATCAAAAGGATAAAAACACAACAGTTTATAGAAGTTCTAATTCTAATTCTGAGCCTTGCTTTATTCAAGAAGTTCTGATCCATAGTTTCTTCTACTTATGCAATGATATGGCCAGCATCAATACTATGATATTTACATATTTAAGGATGTTCTAAATGAAAATATGCAAAGTCAAAAAGACTTACCTTGAATATGAAGGGTGTGCTTGGAACTTGAGTTGTTGCCTTCAGATGTTCTGGAGTCAGTGAGAGCAACGGAACAGTGGTTATGTTCTTTGATTCAAAGAGAAAAACAAAGGTTTTGTTTAGGATTTGCGAGCGTTTTTTGATGTTTCCTTTTCTCTCTTTTATAATCATCTCTCTCTCTCTCTCTCTCCAAAAGCCATCCCCTTGCAAGTGTGATGGAGAAACTTATTTATAGGTGAGTTTGTTGTGGTTTTGGGGGGAAAAACAAATGGGATCCAAAAAACTTTTGGCATACTTTTCCATTTATTTTTAAACACGGTTTTTGTATGCTAGTTTGGTGCAAATATGGGATTTGGGAAAGTGCGAGCGTTGACTGGATTAGCTGTTGGTTATAGGATTGTGTTGTAGCAGTGCAGCAGGTTGTTTAAACGAGGTTTTTGGGATTTGGTGATGTTCTGACCGAAGCGTTGAACATAGCCTTCATATGCTAGGGTGCTTCCTTGTTCTTGAAGCAAGTATGGTGGTTAGCAGCTTTTAGCCATGCCTAAGCTGTACTTGTAAGCATAAATTAAGGAAAAGTATCCTCAGAGGCAAAAGCAAAGCATGGGCGTAGCATAACCTTGTACAAAAGTTTGTTTTTCAAGGACAACAATGGTACTTCTTTCTCACACGTGGGAAAATCCTTTGGATAAAAAACTCAAAAGTGGTTGTGTGCATTAAATGATGATGAGATTTATCAAACCAGAAATCCTGCAATGTGATATTATGCATCATAGCTTAATTCTGGATCAGAAGTTCAGCATCAGCGCAATTTAGAACCAACATTCAACTTCTGATCCTTTAATCTCTTTGCTCCAGCATGTTCTGAGTGAGTTCTCAGACTTTCCCAAAAGCTTGTAACACGCTTTGAAAATCCTCTTTGAATTGCTCTTGCAACTTCTGACTGAACCTACATGAAAAATGGCCCAGAAGTTCTAACCAAACTCTGTCTTGAAAATGTCCAGAATTTGCTGAGTGCTTCAGTTTCATGGACGTGTCTTTGAACATTTATAACTTGAAATTTTAGCATTTCTAGGATAAGTTTTGTTCTGTAATGTTTGAGATCTCATTGAGATCCACAAATCTTGTGTTAGAAGTTCTTCCAGAATCAGCTGGCATCATGGTGAAAATCTGGCCAGAAGTTCTGAGCTTGTCATATTTCTTAAACACTTAGAAAAATTCTAAGTATTTAGAATTTTGACTTTTTCAACATGAATCTTGACTTATGATTTTTCCTGATGAAACAAACTTCACGCCTTGATGAAATATGATTCTTGAAACTTGATTTTGATCTAAAAATCAAATATTGACTTTTCAGCATGCAATTGACCATTTTGCGCTTGTGCCAATTCCAAGCCCAAATTGATGTATCAATGCTGCAAGTTTGATGTTATGGGAGACTTTGTGAGAATCCTGGAGAAATGAGAGGGCAAATTTTGGGGTACAACAGCAGGCATATGATCCTTTCTCCGGTGGGGCTTATTAGTAAGGAAGGTTCAGCTTACCTAATCTTTCTCCAGCGGGACTTATTACTATTAGTGCATGAAGTGCGAGAATATATAGTAGAGCATGATCTTGCTTACCTATAGAATATCTCTAATGTAGAGAAGATGGAGTTGATTTCAGAGGTTGGTTTTCATATGTTCTAGAGTGCTTCCTTGATGTCCACGGTGGTCTCGGATTGTAGAGAATTCTTAGCTTTTGGAAATCCCTCAAAAGAGAGATATTCCTGAAAACGTAAGTATAATGTAGCCACTCATGACCCGCCCCTGCTCTAGGAGAATATTTTCAACCTCCAGAAAGAGATTTCTAGTTTTTTTAAGCTTAAGAAGGAGATGGTCACTCACTACTCCACTTATGCTCTAGTTGCCAAGGAGTCTGAGCTACAAGCATCTTTGGTGGTTAAAGAGAACTCTCTTGAAGAGGCAAAAGCTTCTACAGCGATGATGACTTCTCAATTTTCCATGGTTAAAGAATCCTTGCAAAAGGAAAAAGATTCTAGTGACAAGGAGTGGGAGATTCATTGTAATACGGTGGGAGAATTGACTTGGTTTTTCATTTTATCGCAAGTTTTGTGGATAGTAAGAGTCGCCACCGACTTTTCTTTTATTCAATAAGGAAAGGGTGAAAAGAACAGGAAAAACCTTGATAGATTTTGAGTTCAAGGGGTAGATTATAAAAAGGGAAGGTGCTAGCATACTTCCCATCCATAGTTATCTACGGGCTCTTAATCGTTTAGCTCACTTTTTAAAAATTCCTTTGTGCTTGAAAATATTTTTGAAAACACCAATGTAAGGCAGGCTTTGTAATAACTCTTGTATCAGTCCTCAAGAGCGTATACAAAGCGTTTGTTTGAAAATATTTTGAAAGTGTTTATGAAAATGTTTTATTTTTGAATTTGTGAGCAAGTGATTAAAAGGATCTACCCTACTCAAGGTCGTTCTTGTATTTTCCTCCTCCTTTACATAGTGTTATCCATACCATTAGTGAGTAGGAAGCCCTATCGTTGGATGTGAAGGGACAGGTGAGGGTTATCGTATGGTCATCGAAGGTAACTCTCAGGGACGCTTTAGCAATTTTAGTAAGGGACTGTCATCTTTTTATTTGTAGGAAACTCGAGGGACTAGATCATTTCCAAAAGGCAACATCAAAAGGGTCATCGAGGGATCATGATCTTTTTGTATGATGACTTAATCGAGGGTCTTTGCTAAAGCATCCCTATGTTCGAGGGACATGACCATTTTCCGAAGGCAATAAAGGAGGTTACTCTAGAGGTGTGAGTATGTGAGGTGTGTTGTATTCAGTTATTTAGTCTTAATTAGGGTTTTCTATCGTCAGGTTTTTATCTTTCCATGCAAACCCTAATTACTAAACAATAAACATAAAATAATAGAAAGCGGTAAAGTGCGAAAAAATAAAGGCAGAAAGTAAACCCTAAATTATTACATCGCTTCGAAGCAGTTACAAAATAGAAAAGCAAAAATAAAAAAAAAACCCTAAGCTATTACAAACTGTAAACAGTTACATAAT